TCTTATACGGGCAAGGTGGAACTTATAAGGGCGGTTCCTCAAGGAGTTGAATATTTTTGGCTTTCAATATTCCCAATACCGGCTACAATTATATCAAGGATTGTTACCCATTGTCGAAAATTCCTTTGAGGATCAAAGAAGCCATTGGTTGTTTGGAAGAATCTTTGCCTTTCAAAAGATGAAGGAGGGCTCGGCTTGAAGGACTTGAAAAGTTAGAATTTAGCGTTACTTGCTAAAATCCTTTAGAATAGACATCATAAAAAGGACACACTTTGGATTCTTTGGGTTCACCAAGTGTATCTTAAAGGGGATTGCATTTGGAAGGTTCGTCATAGAAAAGATCACTCTCCACTTTTTTAAAAATTGCTGGAAATTAGAAATATACTGCTTCATAAGCTTGCTGTTGCACAGGAAAGGGGACGACATCTGGACAGATTTTTGGATCTGCTTAATGCTCAAAGCCTGGGGCCGAATCTGGGAGGAATAGCTGATCGAATACATGATAATCTGGACAATTTTAACAACCAGCCGAATGAACAGAAATTGAGCTGATTCCGGCAGAAATCTCAGCCCGACAACAGCAAAATCTGGACAATTTTTCTGGGTTTTCGGACTGCACAAAACAGGGACCCAAATCTGGGAATTCTAAACAGTTTTCTCATTACGAAAACAGTCCATAAATTCAGCACAAAAAGGGCATATGATTTCTTCAGGCCAAGGGGTACAAAGAAACCTTGGGTAGCCGACGTTTGGAAGCCTTGCATTACTCCGAAACACTCATTTTTGCTTTGGTTAGGGGCCCAATTAAAGCTCCTAACTAAAGACAAACTGCATTTCTTGGATATTGATGGCAAGTGTGATTTTTGTGGACATTTGGAGGAAACAGTTCGACACTTATTTTTTGAATGTCCTTTCACTTCGGTTGTATGAGGAAATATTAGACATTGGTTTGGCATCAAAAGATCTATGTCAACACTTGTTAGCTCTTTCAAGTGGATGAATTTGCCCGGGTATGCTCGGTGTATTTGTATATGAACATATTTTATCAATGATATTTACGTTTACCGATAAAAAAAAATTCTGCAACACACTTACAAATCAAAACTCCATCATCTCCTCCCAAACAAGTTGCCGAAAGTTGGGAAACACACTTTGAGAAAGTATTACCAATATTGATAAAACGCTCCATGGCCTAAAGGACTTCTATTGAAACTTCATCTACTTCAAATCCAAAAATTCTTCAAAAGAATGAGGCAGATATATTTATAACAATCCATTTATCCATGTATAGAACTATCATGATACCTTCATCTTCAACTGGAGAAGCTTTTGCACACCGTCCTCTAGAGCAACGGCGTTGACTGGGACAAGATCGTGGAATCTCATAGTCGAATCCTTGATTGCAGGCTTAACAATTAAAATTGGAGAACTGCGGATTTTATTTCTGGGGTAGAATGAAGATGAAGATTTAGGGGGTTTTAGATATCTCCAGCGCTACACCAAATCTTGTATCAAACTAAAATTCATCTCCACCATTATATCAAAACTTACACAAAATTAATAGTGTTTAACTATTTTCTTCCCTTTTTTACTCTTTATAATTTATTTATTTGAAATATTATTTATTTAATTATTTTATAAACACATATATTACTAAATAAATACTTACGTTAAATTAAGGAAAAGATTAAATTCATTAATTAATATAAAAAAAACATAGTATAATTAGTAAAAATATTACAAAAATGAAAATATTAAATTATGCCATTAAAAATAGTGTAATGCATTTTGAATTTGAATATTATGATATTACGAAGTCAAAATATTATTTTGACAATATTGGAGGATCTGGAAACGATCTTCCAAATTACTAAAGTATGCACTTTTTTATGTGTCGTTTTCTTTTAAAAAAAACTCGATTAATGTATGTATATCATCGTTTAATATATTTCGTGTTTACTTTAAATAATCATGTTTGTTATATTTTAAATTTTTTTCTTCTTTTAATTAATTCATTAATTATTTTTTTATTTTAAATGCAAATAATAATAATTTATTGTATTAAAAAAACATATATCACAAATGACACAAAATATCCTTAATCAATTTATTTGAGAAATGAAAATGAATGGTCAAAATGACTTTGGACACTTTGCACCAAAATGGTGCAAAGTTTGGTGCCACATTGGAGGATATTTGAACTAAAATTTGATGCATTTTGATGAAATGGTACATGCGTCGGAGATGATCTTAGAGAGATGAGTGGTTGGAAAGAGGATGGATATGGTTGGAGTGAGTGGGGTAGAGTGTACCGATGACAGAACTAAGCAAGTCACATGGTAATAATGGCCCCCTCCTTCAATGGGAATGGAGTATGTTTTCTATCCATGTTTTGGCTTATTTTTCAAAAAAATATATTTTTCTAAACCTCATTTTGAATCGTACGTTCTTCAATAAAATAATATTAGACGTAAACATAGTTTTTTTCCTTTTTTAATCATACATTATTCAAAAAAAGTTCTATTTTAAAATATTTATTTTTCAAAATCTCATTTTAATCGAGCCAAAACTGAAATAAAAACTTGAATTATTTTTGAGGTACATAATCCCTCCTTACATGGGGGGTGCCCCAAGAATCACCCTAAAAACTTCTTTTGGAATATCTTTTTGTGGTAGTTATTGGATATGTGCGGCTCCACGTAAAGCAAGATTAGATTTTCATTTTTGAGTCTTTTCTACTTCTTTTTTCTTAGTGATATTTTTTGTCACAAAAGGAGCTCAAACGTATGAAAAAACAAATAAATTAGATTCTTGTTCAAATAGTGAGATTTTGGATATTCCTCCTTGAAAAGTAAGATTCTTATTCTCCTACCAATTTAAAACTATAAATTTTGATTCCTATATAAAATCAGTTTTAGATAGGTAGAAAATTGTATAGATATCAAGTGGCTCGCCCTCAAACGAGCTGAGAAGCTTGGCTTATTGAGGCAAATCATGAGTACGAGCCGACCACCTAAATCATTGTCCATCCGATGAGTGACTCGCACAAGTTGGCTCTAGAACCAAGCAAGATGGATCTCGCGTGCAAGCTGGTTTAACATATCAGCTCACAAGCCAAGGCTAGGCGACCCTACTTGCTAACCTAGATGCACAGTCTTAAAACACGTGTGTAGACCGCAACAAGCTATGCGTGAAGAGTTTAATTCCTTGATGAAAAACAACACTTGGAATTTTGTTCCTCCCTCTCCATATTACAATGTAGTTAGGAGTAAACAGTTTTCAAGCTCAAGTTAAATCCTGATAGCTCTATCCAATGACATGTAGCTTGTGCAGTTGCAAAGGGGCTTCATCAGACCTGTGATCTTGATTTTCAAGACCTTTACTCTTACAGTTAAGCCTTCACTTGTAACAGTTATTCTTATTATTGTAATCATCAGAAACTTGAAAATCAAACAACTAGACGCCAATAATTCCTTTATGATTAATTTTTAGAAGAGTTCGTTTTCATGGTTCGACAAGAGGGATGTGTTGATCCCATGCATTGTATGGCTTTAAGCAAGCTCCTCAAACTTGGTTTGATCATCTAAAAAATGCTTTCTTGCTTTGGATTTTGTTAGTGCTAACACTGATACATTGTTATTCATCTACAAGGTTGCTTCCAAAATGATACTTTTTGCTAGATATATCGACAATATTCTCATTATTGGAAATGTTTGTAGTCTAATTGATGAACTTGTTTAAGATTTAAATGGTTCTTTCATCAATTACACTGTTTTGTGGACATTGAGGTTATTCATGATTTTACATGAAGGTCAATTCATTTTTGAGAGTATAATTAATTTCTTAATTTTCTAATATACACTTATTTAATATATCTTGTTATTAACAAATATGAACTACCATTATCTAATGTATGAGTATATTAGGAGAAATTTATGGTTCTAACATATATTAATTATATATATTTTTTTAAATTTGTGTAAAAAAACATACCTTTATGGAATGGAACGAGGAATTAGTATATTCAAGTGTGGGTAAGCACTACCCGTGGCAGTCACCACCCGTCATTGCTTAATTAACGTTTGGATGCTACCTGTCCATGCCAATAGGTTGTCAATTAATTTAGTTGTACAAAATAAGTTGACAAAATAAATGTTGACAAAATCTTGGACTTTGATTTTAAATGATTTTAAAAAGTATTTTTGAAATGATTGATGTAAATGTTATTTTATATACCAACTTTGTCGACTAATTTTGTACAAATAGCATAATTCATAGGTTGTTGGCTGGGACACTATAAGCATTGGATTTTATAATAGGACAATATTATGTATACATAATTGTACACACGACCTTACACTCCCCTTATAAGGAGGGGATCCATGCACAATAAAATATGCATAAATCTCCCTCCATGTGGAGGGTGTAAAACTGTGTGTAACCCAACCTAGCATTACTTTTTGTAATAATATCATTTACTAGATAGTTTTTTGTTTTATAATAAAATTAAATTGTCAAATACTATGACCATGTTTGGTATAAACTCAAGTTCAAATTAACAATTAATTTTAATCATATATTTTATGAATTTTTGACGACACATTTTATTATATATATATTCAATCAAAGTAAGATAATTGCCCTTGTTTGATTCCCATTCATTGGAAAAAAAAATGAATTCTTCTACAGTATTTTGATATCATTTTAATCACATATTCTTCAATAAAATAATATTACACGTAAATTCAAAACTTTTTCTCATTTTTTAACCATACATTTTCAATCAATACACTATTTAAAAATTCATTCCCCCTCTCAAAATGGGCTCAAACAAGTGCAATATGTGAAAGAGAAATTGATCGATAGATATATTTCTATAGAAATATAAATATCTTCGGTGGGCCTAACGTGGAAGCTTATTATTGGTTGACAAATGATAAGAATTTTGTGTCCATAATTCAGTATAATACCACCACAATATTATATTATATATTCTACTCACAATAATGCATTTCTTATCTCTGTTGAATACCATTACAGCACTAGGAACAACTGTTACAGAACAATTCCAATGGCAGCAGTCGCCGGCGTGAGCATTACAACCCCAAAAGTGCTGGCATTAGAATCCCCCAAAATGTTACAATCCGCCAAATTCTCGTTGCTAAACAATCCATGGAAGAGGTGCACTGAATTTGGACGGGGTAGGATGTACGTCCACCCAGTGGCCGCTGCACCAGAAGGCCTTTCGGAGAAGGTGGCAGAGAGCGTGAAGAACGCCAAGGAAGCCTGCTCCGAAAACCCCACCGACGGGGAGTGCGCAGCGGCGTGGGACGAGGTGGAGGAGCTAAGCGCAGCGGCCAGCCATGCCCGGGACAAGAAGAAAGAGTCCGACCCTTTGGAAGATTACTGCAAGGACAACCCGGAGACTGATGAGTGCCGCACTTACGATGATTGATTATTTTGTTACGGTTATGTTTCCGAGTCAATTAATTCAGCAAACACCCTACTCGTATTTAATTATGTTATACCTCTACACATATTTGTTAGGCTGAATTAAAAAAGTTATTACAAATGTCTCTTCTTAAATCTTGAAGAGTTTATAGTTATACTCCTTTTTCCTTTATTTAGCGTACCTAAGTATTTTACACGAAATTTACTAATTAGATGATGTTAGTTAGAGTGGCAATTAATTTGTTTCAAGATTTGTAAAATAGTGCAGCACCGCAAGATTAACAACCAAATTCATATAACATTGACTTCAATAAAAATTCATATACACAAAGCAACCGTCATCCAATAAAATAGATTTTACTTCCAGAAGCCATTGATTAACTTACATCAAAGCAAACCATCAATCTTAATAGTATCCATGGCAACAACTGCAAAATATTTATGACATGTTTGACAAGATAGACTAGGAAATACAGGAAAGTAATAAAGAGGGCGTTACTATCCAATAACATCCAGTACTTCGTGCCAACCTATGCACTAGTACTCTTATTAGTGGACGATGTTAAAGAAACATATGCCAAACCCTTATGAGCACATTTGACAAAGACTAGGCAAAACTGGCAACGAGTGACATCTAGTGTTTTTGGATCAAAGGTGCCCTTAATACCCTATTATTCTAGACTCAAATGACATAGTGAAAACGAAAACCAAACCATTATCCAAACGAAGCATGACTAATGACACGTATTACCATGGGAGAACCAGCAAAGCATCACGGAGGAGACTTCTTTAACTATTATTCAGTACTGGAACATATCAGCAGATGCAGTGATGGAATGTATTGGGCAAGGCAGCTGCCATGGCTCGAGTAAGGTATCTGGGATATCGGGAATATCCAACACCAGTCCACTAACATCAGATACGATTTCAAGAACAGAGTTCAGTGATCTTAGACGATCAGTCAGCTCTGCAAGCTGAGCTCTTAGCACGTTGTTCTCCGAGGCAACCCCAAGGTAAAGTTCAGTGGTGTTATTGATTTTCTGTGAAAGGAGACTGTTCTCGGTCTGCAGCTGGCTCACTTGACCAACCATCTCATCCAGATGTTGCTGCTTCCTCATCCGAGACCTGCGTGCAGATTCACGGTTTGATATCATTCTCTTCCTTTTCCTTTCATCATTCCCAGCATGGCGTTGGTCCATTTCGGACCCTGGACTAGTTGGCTGCTGTTTTGTCGACATTTTTGTCTCTTTTAAATAAATAACAGATTCTGAATGTGGATTTACAATTATTTTTAAAGAGGACTGAGATGTGAATGTTAGATCGATAAAAAGTAAGAATGTGGATAGTCAATAAATTTGGAAATCCTGACACAGCAAAATTAGGGATTTGGACTATCAAAGGGCTGATTCATGAAAACACATAGAAATAGTGGAGGAAAACAACTGAGAATGAGTGGAGAATTCTAATTCGACGCATCAGGATAGCGAACGCCATTTGGATATACGAAGAAAATTTATCAGAATCATAGAACTTTGATCAAAGAAAACAAATCTCGGTCTTTAATTCTAGTATTATACCGCTGAAAACCACAAGATCTGAAAGAACCTAAGCCGAATTTGAGTACTTTCGAAAATCTGCAAAAATCACAGCAAAATAACATCGATTTATTACAACTACTCAGAACACCAAAACATAAAAGAAACACGAACAACATCAAATAAAACTAAATTGAAGGCGAGAAAACAGAAAAACTACATAAAACTAAAAATAAAAAATAAAACACGCAAAGGAGAAAGAAAAACTAACCCGTTCAACAAAGAGGCTGCGTAGAAAGAAAAGTAGGGCGAACGAATGTTTCTAAGCACCTCCAATGGGGAGTATTTATAGGCCAGGGAGTGGGGTTTTTTTGCTTCTCCTCTTTATGGAAAGTAATTTTTTATTGATTAATTTAATTAGGTGTGCCGTCTGTGCATGTTCATAGGTAGGTACAGGCGTGCAGCCAATGATATATGGTAATGGCAGCTAAGTAAAGAAGCTCTTTTTGTTTTCTTATAATGTATTTTAAAATAGTATTTTGATGAATAATATGTGATAAAAAAAAAGTGAAAAAATTTTAAATTTACGAATATTATTATTTTATTAAAAAATATGTACTTAAAAATAAAAGAGAAAAAAATATATTTTAAAAATAATGGAGACCAAACACAGGCTAAGCACCAAACACGTGCTAAGCAATAAATTTAACCCTCAACAACCATTATTTCAAAATTCTTTATTCTACATATTTATTTTCAATCACACATTCACATAATAAAATGTTACGTAAGGAAACCCAAAAAATTTTTCCCACTTTTTAATCAAACATTCTGCACAAATTCACAATTCAAAACGAGATAAGATCTGCTGTATAATTTTGTCATCCANTAAATGATGATGTATTACATTTGAATTTACAACTTGATTTATAGATTCACTCAAAATAAAGTATTAATTTCAATAATGCATATATATATTAATGGTCATGTGACTATGATCGAGATTTTAAAAAAAGACTCGACACGTTATAATTCATCAATTTGTTGAAAATACTTTTAGTACATACTGAACAAAAAAGACATTCCAAATAACATTTCTACTACTTCGAGTAAATGGTCTTAAAGGAATGTGGAGTCTTGAATTCAACATATGGTTTGAATACGATTTTTCTCGAGTCTTCTACCATATCATATTTTATCATGCATTCTATATTTTTCATATTTTTTATAATTTTTTCCAACTTTTTAACCACCCTCCAAAAAATTCACTTTTTAAAAAATCACTCGCACACAGAGCACATATTTTGTTTTAATTTTCTTTTAGTTATTGATAATTTTTAATTTCAATATAGTCAACATTTGGAACCTTTGAAAGAATATTCTTTTAGGGAGTAGTACTGGGAAGGTGAAAACGAAGGTGGAGATGACGTAAGAAATGATATAAGCTTATTTGCTAGGATGCTCTGTACCCTTTCAAGTGTGTATCTAATGAGTCTAATCTAATGGTGTTTTTGAACCCATTTTATGTAGAATAAGTTTTGTAATAGTAATTTTATTTATTTATTTATTATTTTTTTTAGAATGTGTGGTAAAATTAGAAAAAAAAATTGAACTTAAGTATAAAATTATTTTATTAAAAAATGCATAATTTAAAATGAGTTAAAAAAAATTTAATAGAATGAAGTTCAAACATGGGGTAAAAGTTTTGAGACAACAACTTTCAAGTTTTATAATAACTAATGCACGAGCTTGATTATTTTGAAGGTAATATTAGTGTTAAATATGTTGAATTCTCGAGAATTGCATCATCAATCCAATGTTTGCTATAGCTACGCTGTGATGGACTTCCTTTATTGAGAATGCATAGAGACTTACTAAATTATATCATTCTAGGCTAAACAAGCAAAAAGTTTCTATCAAGTAAGCCTTGCCTGAAACCAAAATTCTCCCTCCTTTAGCATTAGTAGATCCAATAGAAAGAGAATGATATTTGATAACTGAAAGTTGCATTTTTTTCCCCACAAATATTTAGAAGCCTATCATAACTTTTCTCAGTATTATGGTATCAAAACCAGTATATATGTTCCAAATGTCTGTCCTTTTGCTAACTTGTTTTTAAGTATTGCATGGAAATGCATCATAAACGAGCCAGTTTAACACACTAATGTTAAATATATTGAAATAACTTCAAAATTTAATGGTTTTGATCTTATATGAAATGAATATCAGTAGAACTGTAGAAAAAAATAAAAAATTACCACAAAAACCACCAGTACATTCAATGACTTCAGCTCACACATTTGAATCTACTACTACTATTATGTTGATTGGATATTTGATGTCTTCAACACTCAACTTGGCTTTTTCCTCTTGATCATTTGTATTATCCAAAACTCTGCTGCAGCTCCTCTTATTTGAAGCTACTCTAAACATTTTCACTTGATATGGGAGAACCAACAATAGCTGGAAACCATTATAATAAATAAAAACAAGAAGAAATTATTTTTAAATTAGCTTGAAACTTCTCCTGCTCCTCACCAGTCAGTTCTAAATTGATTATCATGTTGCCTATCGCCATCAACTGCAAAAGTTTTTATGTTGAGAAATACTTGTAAAGAAAACTACTATTATGGGATGAATTACAATTGTGATTTTAACTCTGGGTTTCTAATATTGTAATTTTGCCTCAATTCGCATTGATGTCTTTTACATTGTCGTTATATTATTATCCTCGTGTTCAAGTTCCAAAATGATTGGCAAAGCATATAGAAATGCATTGATAAACATAGTCATCTTCTCAATAAATTTGGGATGACTTGCATAAATCTTTTTTCACCATCACGTTAAGTTCATTGCTAAACATAATGGAATAGGAATGACTAAAGCACAGTATCTCAAATTAATTCGAAGCCAATTGCTTTATGCAATCAACAAAATAAGTCAAATCAACATAGTCCATTAAATCTTAAATTTCTTCTGTAGAAATTACTAACCTTTTAACTTTGCTTCCTGTGGACTTCTGGAATAGTTCTCACCTTACAACAAAGTAAGATCTACCAGAACAGGAAAGAGAATTATAAAGATTCCTCCATCTCGATTAATTCAACAGTTGAAAACTTTCTACTTCACAAGCCAAACTATCATTTTGCTATCAATATAGTTCTTGTACATGGATATAAATAGATATGAAGACATGCAATTAGAGAACAACCTTACAAATACTTGACCAACAAATATTTCAGATTCATGCTGAAACAAAAAATGCCTATTAATCTCTTATATGTCTAATAACAAGCTTTACTTTCTGAACGACATTTCAATGTTTAGCTCTAGCCAATTATATTTACTTAGTTTAACAAGGTTGCAAATGATTTGATAATGCCTGTGCTCTTTCTAGAACAAACCATGGATCAACTCGGGTCAATGAAATTTTCAAAATGGTCAAGGATTCCCAGGTTAATTGGTTTATCAGGGAGGGTCCGGCCTAGTTACCAAATAAATATTTTAACCCAAATAAGGATGCGTAAACATTTCACTACTATGAACCTGAAAGCCATGTAAACAAAGAGAAATTTTATAACTTCAAATTAATCTAAATTTAAAAATCTTAACTTGCCCAATAATGCATTCACCAAGAGAAGATGGAAAATGACGAATTTATAAGAGAAGGTCTTGAGTATATGATGACCTTCATCGATTACAATGTTCGTTCATCCTATTATTCTACAAAATGCACATTGCAAAAGGATATTGGAAGCTGAGACGGTGAGCAGTATTGAGTCTCTATTTCTACAGCAGAAATAGTCATCCAGTAAATTCAATTTGTTATCATACTATTTAAAATTTGAAAATAAATGGATGGGAGAGGGAACCCCGGGGGGAGGGGGGGAAGAGTATGAGCTAAAACAATAACACCATCAGCGTATAAATTGACGGTATATTGATAGAAAGAATCGGAGAAATAAATAGATGCATAGGACGACTTAAATTCCATCACATTGTTGTTGCTTCCTTCTATGAACATCTAACTAAACTTCTTGGTTGAAACTTCTAGCCATACCTTAGTGATAACAATGATCAAAATGAAGCCGTTGGCTTAATTTTGTGCGTACACTACATAAATACAACTAATAACATGTTGAATCATAACTTTTACAAATTAACGAAGTCTCATTAAAAAATATATAAATAACAAGTTGTCCAATAACATTAATTTACCAATGTATACATATACTAAAAAGTAGATACTAGTACTAAAATATCGGTAATCCATGTCAATAATTCTCTTGCTTCAGCCTTCAAAATCAAGTCTACATTAAACAATTAAATATGAATTAGAAGTCATAGAGATAAAATATTTTTAAGTATTGCTAATACTTATAAGCTATTTGATTAATCATCAATTTCTTGACTTGTCATATGAAGAAACTCTATAGAAAAAATTGAAAAAACACAATTAACAAACATGAATGAACTAAAAAATATTCAACTAATAAGATTTAATAAGAAGAATAAAACATATATTTTATTACCTGTCTCAATACTCTTATAGAACTCTGTCTCTTCAATGCAAACTCTATTTTCGGAAACTCTCAAAAGTCTAGATTCTTTCATTAGCCTATTTTAGGAGTTAAAGAACTCCTAAATGGGTCAAGAATGCTTGATGTTGGGCTAAAAAAAAAATTTTAAAAATGAAACAAATAATTGGGCCAAAAAATTAGATTTAGAAAAAATTAAAATAATTTGATTTATATAAAAAAAATAAAAAAATAAGGAAAATTCAATTTTTATTCGGTTCTTCGATTCTTGGTCTAGAACCAAGAACCGAACCGTACCCGTCAGTTCTCGATTCGGATACCCGTTCGGGTAGTTAACTTAAGAAGAACCGTCGAGTTCGGTTCGGTTCGTGAGTTTTTCCCAGCCCTAAGTATGGAAGTTTTGAACCAATTATTCTTTGTGACAATATCGGTAAGAACACACACATAAGTATCACGTGTTCTCGAGTTCCTCAACTCGCTTAGCGCTGTTATGGCCTTGCACTCATTTTATTTGACAAACTTTTAAGAGAGAAACTCCAACTCTCAATTGAGGTGGCACCACCTCGAAATTTGTTTAGGTAAAGTTCTTCCAGTACCTTTGTTACTTTTAGAGATACTTGTGTTTTAGCACTAAATTTCATTAAGAGCTTGAATGCTCAACCTTCACTTTAGTAACAATCAGCATTATTTTAATTATGATAGGGTCATCGTGGATTTTAATAATGCAGCAACTATCTACATATCGAATGACTTGTTGTTACTCTTTAAACCCGTTGATTACCTTTTGAGTAATGACAGACAGGGTTGCCATCATTGGTGAAC